TTTTTTTTGGAACCGGGGATTGAACTCAGGCCCTTGCACTTGCCAGGGAAGCACTTATTTCACTGAGCCATCTCCCCGGCCCCTATCTGATACTTTTTAAAACAGAGTGTCTCTGTTGACGTGGGCGAGTTTGGGGGGAATGAGGTCCTTTACTATCTGTGGCAGCAGGGTGCATCTCTCCCACCCTCTTCCCATGGCTTCTGGCCGGCCCAGGCAGCCTCCTGGCAGGCTCAGAACTGGAAGTCCCGGCCTTCTGCAATCACTTGCTCAACTGCTGATGCGCTTTTGCCCCAGCCTCTTCCTCTGCCTCCTAAGCATTCCCTGCCCCAACCCTAGCAGCATTTATTTTTGAAAGCCAAAAACTAGATCTAAACTTAAAGCTTGCACTAATACTTTGGTTTTCAGGCCTCAAGTCACCACATCCAGATTTGCTCCTGGGTTGGTCATCTGTGAGAAACAGAAACACCTCCGTGGGCCTGGGAGCTGGGCAGGGCACAGGAGCAGCAGGGCCCCTGGGATGGCCAGGCTGCCACAACCTCCCTGAAGCCCCGCAGTCCAAGAGGAAGCCCCCAGGAGCCAGCCCTGCCAGGCAACTGTGGCACCCCCCCGCCTCAGTCTCTACCATCTCTGCTGCCACTTCCCAAGGCCCCCGTGTTGAAGATACCACTATCCCTCCCAGCAGGGGCCACCTGCAGGGTCCCCACTCCTGTCTCAGCAGCACCAGCACCTGAAGCAGCATCGCCTGTGCCTTGGAGGGCTTCAGAGCCAGCCTCACTACTGCGGTTCGTCCTCCAGACTCTTGAAGGGGAGCTCCTTCCCAGCCAGCCAGACCCCAGGTGAGAGCAGCAGGCATGGGGCCCTCGCTGCACCCAGCAGGCAGCGTGCAGGCTGCACAGGGTGCCCTGCCCTGGTCAGAGCTTGCCACAGCACACAGCCAGCCAGGAGCCTTTGCTGCTCAGGAGCTGGAGCATTTGGTACCTGCTCCCTAAGCTGCAGGAAACACTGCACTCAGGGCCAAGAGCACAGACAGGGTCGGCTCTGCTGGCCCCTGGAGAGCATCCATCCCCTGGGGCCAGAGAAAGCATGGCCAGACCCTAGCAGGCGGTGCGACTGCCCACGTCAGTGCCATCGAGCATTCTTTGAGGCCCACCCTCCATCGCCAAAATGATGCTCCACAGGGATCCTTTCAGCTCCAGAGTTTAGGCTCCTGAGACCTCTGTCCTGGCACACCTGGGCCAGAGACCAAGGAAGGGTTAGGTCTCTAAGGTCAGGAGGTCATGTGGGAGCACAGCAGGAAGCGGCACCCAGAGAGAGGTGTGGACAGGAGGCAAGTGAGGGAAAGACAGACAGGCCAGACTGCAGCTGGACTGGGTCCCTAACACGCAGAGGAAGCTATCAGGCACACAGCGCCACAGGCAGCCTGGGCTGATAAGTGAGGCAGAAGCTTGGGAGAGACATGAACAGGGACCGCGAAAGCAGCAGGATGGCACAGGTCCCAGAGCACAGGCCAGCACCGAAGAGGGTCTGCACGGACACCTGAGACCACAAAGCAAGGCTGTCGCCACAGCAAGCAAAGCCACGCGAGGGCGGCGTGGCTGGGGCTTCAGGCTGGCTCCACCTGGAGCAAGTGCCTGGAGAGAAATAGAAAAGAGAAAAGCGAAAGTCAGTGAGACGCAGTGATAGCCCCGGCTGCTGTCGCTCCCTGGACATATATTTTTTTTATTTTTTTATTTTATTTTATTTTATTTTTTTTGGAACCGGGGATTGAACTCAGGCCCATGTGCTTGCCAGGGAAGCACTTATTCCACTGAGCCATCTCCCTGGCCCCCTCTGGACATATTTTGATTCAGCTCTTTACCTTCTACCTTCTAGCCTTTCTTTTCAAAATTAGACATTGCTAGTCTTTTTTCCCAGCTATTTGTCAGATCCTGATACTTCTGTGGGCACCAAGTATTAATCCAAAGTACTGTTCATATACTTGTATTGTTCAGGTTAGCACCTCTACTTTTATTTATTTTACTTATTTATTTTGGTACAGGATCTTGCTACACAGCTCAGACTCGTAGTGATCCTCCTGTCTCAACCTTCCCAGTACTCAGATTACAGGCGTGCGCCACCACCTCTGGTTTCCTGGTCCAGCACAGCGCATCTGGGATTATAGGGCCAGCATGGTATGCAGTAGTAAGGACTGAAACCAGGTCCTTGTGCTTGCCAGGCAGACATTTAGACTGTTGAGCTATCCCCCCAGCCCCATCACCTCTACTTTTGAGAGAAAATGTGCTTCTTATGGATTGGTGAGTTTCCTGCTGGTGGTGCTGAGAACATGGGGGCAGAAGTCTTGCACCTAGAAGTCTAGCTCCCCACGCGCCAGCCGGGGCCAGCACGAGCGCTGGGCGCACTCTTCTTTGTGCTGCGCTGCCTGTGTGGGAAACACTCACTGAGCCAGAAACGGGAAGCTCGGCTAGCAAGGCTTCAACTGGGAGGCTTTGCGCAGCGCTCCTCTGAGTCCGAGTATTTCCTATCCTGGGGCTGGGATCCAGACCTCATCTGAGCTCCTGCTCACCTACCCTCCGCTGTGGCTTCGTCCTCAAGGATGCAAGGCAAATGCTGTCCCCAGGGTCACGCCACGTCGCCCACCAGACGCTTAGCTCAGGCCCATCAAGCTCACAAGCAAATCGCCCCAGCAGCCTGACACCTGAACCTAAGCGCCAGGACTAACCGAGCCACCACTCCGCCCTGTGACAGCGCCCTCCTGCATACTAGTGCAGAAAGAAAGCTCCGCCCAATTCTCAACAGTCCCAGAACTGCTCTAAGTCCAAGTCCAAAATAGCCTGTGATTCAAGGCAAATAACTTAGCTATCAACCCCCGTAAACTTCAGAGTCACATGCTTCCAAGGTACAGTGCCACACAGTCAGCAAGTCCTCTCAAAAGGTGGCCCAGGCTCCAGGAAGGCAGCCTCCAGTTCAGAAGCCCCATCACCAGCAGCTGGGGCACAGTGGCAAGTGTGGGTGTCCTCCTGGAGGCAGCCGCGTGTTCTCGCACTGGCCGACTGGGGCTCCTACTGGGACGCCAGGCTTGTGTCTCCCTCGTGCTGTCTGAGCGTGAAGCCTCAGCTGCCGGAAGCAAGGGCTGCGAGCAGGAAGCTCACCGGGAAAGCAAAGCAGGCAGAAGGCCAAGCGCCCTCTGGAAGAGGGTCCCGGCCGAGGGAAGAAAGCACTAGGCTTCTGTTTTGATGGCTATGAGGGCGGAGACTCTCTGTCCCCTGCGGAGTGGCACAGCCATGGTGAAGCGGTCATGTGTGTTTGCCCAGCTGGTCCCCAGGTGGTCATGCCTCTGGCAGGCGTGTGTGGGTGAAGCCGTCCAGGTGGTCATGCCTCTGGCAGGCGTGTGTGGGTGAAGCCGTCCACAAGGCCTACCTCTTAATCCTGCAGTGTCATTAGCAGTTCAGGACTTTGGTCCGTGCCAGCTCCTGGTGCTAGCCGGCCTGCTCACCTGGGACCCCACTTGGTGGGCTGTGCCCTGACTTCCCGCATCTCGTTTCTCTCCCATCTGGGCTCCACCCTGGCAGGGGGCGGGGCGTACTGTGCTCACTGCCTGCGGCCCCCTGGCAGACATTCCGTGTCTCCAGCCTCTCGGCCTCTTGGGATCTCCTCTACAACTTCAACTTCATCCACACAGCTTTGCAAATCTCCTTCTCAGAGGCTTCCAGTGGGGACTCCTGCCCCGTTGCATATTTGCTGGCCTCTCGGGCCTTCTCGGAAATCCGGGAGGAGACTTCTGTGACCCCACATGCAGTCCCACCGGTGACCCCAAACCGAGAACTGTGGACGACACCAACATCTACTGCCTGCTTCCCACAGGTGGGCCTTCTCCCACCGAGACTGTGGCAGCCCCGAGGGCCTGGAGCGCCGAGCCGAGAATACCTCCTGTCTGAGCACAGCGCCCTGCAGCGCCCTTCTCAAGGGGACCTTGGAGAGGTGCTCACTCCCTGTCCCCTTCATCCTGTGAATGTGCCCTTCAAGCCACCCATCTGTCATCACAACGCGAATACGTACTTTCTTTGCCATGGCTCTAATATCTTCCCCACCCAAAACTCCTTTGACCCCAGAATTTTTCCTGCTGCTTTTGTGGCAGCAAACTTAAATTCTTTACATTTTCCCCCCTGCCATTTGCTCCAGATTCTCGCCATATACCTAGGCGAAAGCACCCAGCAGCATACATGCCACAACCTAGACTCTGAGATGTCTCCGAAGTTCTTTTGCAAAATCAGAGTCCACCACCTTCAAATTCAGCCTCACACAGTATCTCGGGGCAAGTATAACATGTAGACAGGCTCCTTGCCCGGCCGAAGCTGCGGTCTCCAGGCCGGGGCCGCAGTCCTATTCCAGCGCGAGGCTTGGCGAGCACAGACTTGGCTTCCCTGCTCTGCCCTTGAGCGCCTGCAGCATGGCTGGCAGCGTTCAGGTTTCCTCCGGTGCAGTTCTCTGACCCTCCCCAAGCTCTACCTTCCTCAAATGGACCCTGCGAAGGGATCCAACACACAGGTCCCAGGCTCTTGTGTCTGACCAGCAGAGATATGCAGGTGTCCATCCAGCGGCCAAACAGAAAGCAGGACGTCTGCTGAAGGTGACAGGAAGACATGCACAGGGTCCGTGCCCACAGAAACAAAATGGTGGCATCAGCAGGAACGTGGTGCTGGGCTGACAGGAAGTAAGAGCTGATGAGTCAGGCTTTCAGAACGCCAAAACTGCACACCGCATCTGGGCAATTTTCACTGCTGACAGGGATGACTGACACGGAACCAAGTCACCCCAGGGCACCGTAGCCCACTTGCTGTCCTGGAAGCCACTAGATTAGTCTGCTCATGCAGTCCACATACATGAATCTTTGTGAGGGTTGAGTGGGGGAAGAGTTGCTAAAGGACAGGCGACAAGATCTAACATCCATCTCTGGCCTGAAGTTTTAGAGGTTTCCTGGATCTCTGTTATTTTTATTCATACTTCTCTTACAATATTGGAAGGAAGATTGGCTCTGAGCTGCTGTCCAAATCCAGGTGGAGAGGGAGAGTGGCCTCCCAGCCCCAACTGTGCTACTGGCACTGTTTCACTGAGAAATGTGGTCCCCCAAAATTTTGAAGGGATGCGGAAAGATGGAAATCCATCTTCCATAGCTACTTCCTGCTGAGCAGGCCCGCGCTGGCCCTAACCCCTGAGAGCAAGGAGCTCTCACGCTGTCCGACCTTGGGGGCTGGGGAGCCTGGTCCTCCTCCAAGGATTTCTGGACGAGGCGGGCATGGGGGCGGGTTTGGGGCTTGGGCCATCACCAGTAGTTTTAACAGCTATCAAACAAAAGAAGGGCTGGAGAGATGGCTCAGTGGTCTAAAGCACCTACTTGGAACAAACTAAGCTAAGCAAAGCACAGGGACCACGGTTCGATCCCCCAGCACCACATGCCAGCCAGCCGCGCCCACAGCTGGCCACACACACACACACACACACACACACACACACACTAAATAAATGTAAAAAAAAAACAAGAAGAAGATTGATTGAGAGATTAAATAGGTAAGCTTAGGCAGTAAGAAGCATTAACAGGGGCTGGAGGGACAGCTCACAGGCCTTAGCACGAGGACCCAGGTGCCATCCCCAGCCCCACACGTCTGCGCAGTCGCAGCCCGGATGCGGGCGCCCACCGCGCGCCCCGGAAGTGGGCGTGGTGGCGCACACCTGTAATCCCCGCACCGCAGGTTGAGCCAGGAGGACCTCTGTGAGTTCACGGCGAGCCTGGGGGCTGCAAAAGTGAGCAGAAGGCCAGCCCGAACTGCATAGGGCTTGATTCCTGGTTCCAATATAAATAAATCAAATTATGTAGAGGGAACGATGTTTTGCTTACTTGGTTCAACAGATGGGCTGGTGTTTCCTCACGGAAGGAAGCTGGCAGTCGTCCGCTGGCTCGCAGGCGCGTGGGGCGTGTGGTCCTCGTGTCTCCTGACGTCTTGGCTACGACTCTGGAGAGGCGGGTCCAGCTCCCGGTTCCCCGCGCCTGAGCGGCAGGAGCGCCACAGCGCTGCGCAGGGGCCTGCCGGGCCGGCGCAGCGGGTGCGGGAGCTGGCCCGAGCGGCAGCCGTGGCGGCTCACCCTTACCAGCTCTGCCACCCTCTCCCTCTGCTGCTGGGCAGTGAGACCCCAGGATGGCCTGGACATCTCGCCAGCTCAGCCCCAAAGCCACAGCTAGGGCACAGAAACCGTCGGCAAACCTTTCAGAGTCCTTGGAAAATCTACCCAATCTTTCTTTGCATCGTTGAGTTTCCATATTGGAAAAGGGCTTGTTGAGAAGGCACTTACAGGGAGCCGGTGGACGGAAGGCTGGAGCAGCTGTGGGAACGTCACAGGCTTCGCCCTGGATCAAACCCGCCCGTGGGACCTCGCGGAGCCTCTGGCGCTGGCTTCTGAGGGCTCAGCCCCAGCCAGGCCTGACTGGCAGGGACAAGCTCCCTGGATCCGGTCACAGAAGCCCTGCTGAGCCTTTCCCTGGGCCCGCCCTCGTGGGACCCTCAGAGCGTCCTCCGGTGCGGCACCCTGACCAGTGCTCGTACGCATGTCCCCGGGCAGAGCTGGATTCCTCCGCACCACAGCAGCTGGCCTTGGCTGGCCGGCACTGGTGCGTTGGAACCTGCGGACTCTCCCTGTGACCTCAGCGCGTCTTCTGGGGCGGCCGCTCTGCTGGCAGGACGCTTCAGGCCAATTATCAACCCACCCAAAGTCCCAGGATGGCATTCCAAGAGTAGAAGGTGCTTTTCTAATCCCACTCTCTGTCAGTAGGGGGCAGCGTAAGAAGAGGGACAAAGACAGGGCTTGAGGAAACCCCCCACCAAATCAAGCAAAACATGGTTTTATTTATTTTATTTAAAAAAATGTGTGTGTGTGTGTGTGTGTGTGTGTGTGTGTGTGTGTGGCTGGCTCAGCCCTCCCAGGGTGAGGCTGGCACGGCATGTGGTGCCAGGGATCAAACTGTGAACCTTGCACTTGCCTAAACAGGCGCTTTAGACCCTCGAACAATCTCACCAGCCAAAATGTGATTTGAAATTACCACATCCCGCATCCATGCGGGTCCTGGTGTTGCAGGCACCTGAGCTAGATAGAAATATTAGGGACAGGTAGACAGGGCCAGGCCCTCAAGGAGACAGTACAGCAGACAAGATGATTTCGCAGCTGTGGGAGAGACAGGCCCCTGCTGTGGGCCAGACCCCAAGAGTAAAGAGTAAACAAATGCGGCCACATCCCTCCCTACAGATAGACATCCAGGACTGAGACTCCAAATAGTCTCTCACCTTGAGGACACCTGGAAGTCACTAACCCAGACCCCTCCAGGAAAAGCCCCTGTTCTGTGTTCATGCCGCCTTGGCCCTCACTTCCTGCTTGGCCCTGGATTTTATCAATTCTCCCTGATCAGTGGTGCTTGTAATCCCACTGGCTGGCCATAGTTTTGTCCCATCTCGGCTCTAGGACCCAAGAGAAAATGGTTGTCTCATCTCTTACACATACATGTGGCAGGATGCACTCAGGTACAGAAGTGCACATGCAAACACATATATACACACGTGCACATGTGCACACACACACACACACACATGCACACTGGAGAGCAGAGGGGCCCAGGCCCGGGGCAGCTGTCACAGATCTGCTGCTGTCCAGGCCAGCCAGGGAAGGAGCGTGCAGGACCCTGCCCAGCCTGCCAGGGCCCACGTTGCTGGAGCTGTCCCCCCTGCAGCCCAGCACAGCTCCCATAGGACGGCCTGCTGGACGGGATTGGGGAGCAGACCCAGCAGGACTCTGTCTCCACAGGTCCCCAAATCAATCAGATCATGCAAGCCTGAATTGCTGCCACTGGCCACAGGGACTTCTCGAGAGCTGCAAAACCAGAGCACAAATAAGAGCCAGCGGCTCCCTGGCCCAGCCCACAGCCCTCGTGGCCACCAGGGCTGTGCCCCCTTCGCCCCCCCAGGCTCAAGCCCTTTCTCTGTGTTCTCCATATTCTCTTCCTTCCTGTGCTGGAGGAATTACCCAGGCCTCTCACTGACATCCCGAAATGCTGCTCTGCCATGGAGGAGAGCGTGGCAGTCCCACCTTACACCCACACAGCAAGGAAACCACAGTCCCCTCTTTGGCACCCCCACGCCCATCATGTGACAGTCGCACGTCTTTCCTAGAGGCCCCGAGGTGTCCTTGCTGTCACAGTTCAATGGCTTTATCCACAGCCTGGAAGGCTGAAGGGGACCGGGCTTCTCCTGCCCCATGCACCCTCTCCACCACGGCAGCAGCGGCCCTGTCGCCTCCAGAGTCAGAGCCCCTCGCCAGCCTGCTCAGCATGGCTCCCCGCCTGTCCAGCACTGCTGCAAGGAAGCCTGGTGGCCAACGGCAGCCTCCAGTTGCAGTTCTGCGCCCACAGCAGCCTTCCAGGGCCTGAGGCCTTGAGGATCTGAGGGTGCAAGCGGGAGCAAAGGTGTTGCTGGCAGGGGATGGTGGGAGGAGTCACTCAGCTCCCACCCCTGGCTTCCCAGACCACGGTCTAGGCAGTCAGAGAAGAACTGTGCACTGCCCCTGGCCTAGGACAGGCAAGCAGCCTGAAGATCTCCTCTCAGCCCTGAGGCCTGAACAGCGGCTGTGAGCCTGTCTGCCAAGGCCTCACTTAGGCTGCTGCGGAGGGTGAGAAGGCGCAAACCCACACAGGTGGGAAAGGCATCTTGAGAGGGAGGAGCTGCCGGCAGGGAAGGCAGAGCCGCATCCAGAGTGTGCGTCCCTCCCAAGAGCCCAGCACCACCCTTCCAGGATGCTGTGCCCAGCACACCAACCATGCCTGC